ATAGTCACTGGAATAGTCAACTGAGATAGAAACATAGACTAAAAGTAAGGACAAGACGCTGATTTGACAGCAATTGGATAACAATGCATGGATATGTGCAAGCATATTTGCAGATTTTTACAATTGATAATAGATAATAGTGTGGAACAGTAACTTAGATTTTAATCAAAATTAGTAGTCTTTTAAACAACATGAAAGCTATACAAGACAAAGATAGACTTAATTATTTAAAGAATAGGTCAATATTATTATTATTATTATTATTATTATTATTATTATTATTATTATTATGTTGGTTTTTACGAGACAGGGGTTCTCTGCATTGTTTTGGAGGCTGTCGGTCTAGCCCGGCCTCGAACTCACAGAGATCCACCCGCCTCTGCCTCCCGAGTGCTGGGATTAAAGGCATGTGCCACCACTGCCTGGCTATAGGTCAATATTATAAAATTGCAACATAACACAAAGGAAAGTGAGCCAAGACTTATTCACTAGACCCTATTTCCTTTTAAAACGCTATTTTGCCTGATGCCACATAACTATTTGTAATTAAAATCAATTTCACGTTTTCAGAAAAAATTCAGAGCAATAACTTCATTAATACATGTTCCCAAATGCAAGTTTCAGATTTCTACAATATTATGGTAACAGATGTCTTTGAAATGAACAAATCAGGGCTCATGGTTAAGAACACCTCCAGTTTAGACACTCTCTCCGCATAATGTCTGTCTGTGGGTCTTTGAACCTGACTCTACTACTTCTGGAGGAAGCCTCTCACATGTCGACAGTAAAAAGCACCTATCTATATCAATTTTTCCCCCAGTCTTGTTTGGTTCTACCTTAGGTCTCTGAGCTAGCCAGTCTCTGATTCCTGACCATCCAGGCAGTGTTGAGCATGGGCTCCCTCTGGTGGTATATGTCTTAAGTTAAACCAGACATTGGTTGACTAATCTCACAAATTCTGCACCACCATTGTCTCACTACATCTTTCAGATAGGACAGATTGTAGGTTGAAGGTTTTGTGGCTGGGCTACATATTTTTTTATAACCTTTACATTTATATTTTAGCATCATACAGAAAGTAAATAATACAACATTGAAGAGAGTATAAAAGACTTACAAACATAAGAAGTATACACCTATATACAAATATTTTGGAGTTAGTTTCATGGATAGATAGATATGAATTAGGAAAATAGATAACTAATAATTTTATTGGAAGAAAAAAATAGAAAAAACATATTGATACCATTACTTCAATCTAAATGGACATACATACTATCAAAAATGTATAGTATCTCAATGTTGTGAAAGAATATGATACTGGTGAATGGTTATTAAGATTGTAATCCTCATTTTCTCAGGAAGAAAATGAAAAATGATCTTTAAAGATTTTCACTTAAAATTTATTCAAAGTAAGTTTAGACAACAAAATACCACATATGAGAAAATAATCACTTATAATTCAAAGCTTGAGGCATATTAGCAATAGACAGTAGTGACAAAAGGGTTCTATCAGTGAGTGTGTGACAAATACAAAGACTCTGATATATTGGAGAAGGTGTCAGTTCCAAGTAATTTGTTTTGTGTTTTCTCATGTTTTGTGTGCTGAAGCCACTCTCTCATGGGGATATTTTGATAGCCTCCCTCTGGTACCCTCTGTCTGTTTCTACATGTTGTGTCACAAATAACTCTCATGCCAAGCAGCTTCCCTAGTAGATGCTTTAAGCATCTCCTTAAGAATCCAGATATCTTTCACCCATGCCCAGGTGGGTAAACTGGAAAGAACAGAGAAATGCTGGGTCAATAAGAGCTCAGGTTTTATGGTACGGTGATCCCACAGTGTGTTTTATAAGCACAGCAGAAATGAAGCCTTTAGTTCAGGATTTTCCTAACTGAACCATTTTAGAATGAAACTTGGAATCCTTAGTGAATGAGAGAAAAGAGAGTTTGGCAATGGCGAAAGCAGAGACACCTAACAGAAGAACTGAGAAAAACGTTGCGGCAGTTGAGGGTTCAAATAAAGAGAAGTCAGAAAAGAGAAATGGCAGATTAATATCTTGATTGGCTACTTGAAGGAAGACTGGGGGAAGTAGATATTTTAAAAGGATTTGAGCTAGGCTTGAAGTGAGTCATAGCAATTTGAAAGTTGAAATGAAGAAATGACTTTTACATCTTCAAAGAGAAACTGAAGAATAAATAATGTTTTGGCTAGTATGGGAAATCCATCATGAAGACACAGGGAAACCAGGGCATACGCACATGGAAGTCAGAAACTGAGTAAGTTGACAAGCTTTAAAATGATACGTTTTAGATGACACCTTTTCCTTATTTTAGTTTACTGGAACTTACTCTTTGGTTTTAGTGCTCCTTACCAACTTATGATTCCCCTAAACATTTTACACACTAGAACTTAAACTAGATCTTTTTGTTACTAGTAAATTTATGTATAGGCAACAATAAGAAGAAAAAAATTAAATCAAATGTGGAAAATAATTATATGGACAACACTGGACATTTGGTGGGAATTTAATGAATAGAGTAATTATCATGATACAAAACATCTAAGGATATTTTAGTTGGAGGCTGCATGGAAACTAAACATTAGTAAATTGTTTTGAGTACTCTCAGTTTGTGAGCACTTAATCAAAAGGTGGCAAAAAGTCTAACATAAGAGTGAGCAAGCTGTGTCTAGTGGGTTATCACATCCAATGTGATCATACCTGAAAAGAACTAAAATCTAATCAAATAAGTTGAAATGAAACATACCTTCATGGAAATGGGTCAGTGACATGTCTACAAACAATAGCAAAAAAATGAAATAGGCTTTGCTATTGACCAAGCATATTGTGAGTTTTACACTAAACATTATAAGGGTGTGGATAATGACCTCAATATCTAGTGGAGTTTGAGATATGGTCAGTGCTAAGCACAGAAAAGAAGGAAATACAGACAGTAAATTCCAACATGTTCAGGAAGAAAGTTAAACAAAGGGAGAGACTATTAAATATTTGTATAGTAACCTGCAGCTATGTGGTTACAAGCATTTGTATTGGTTTAATATAGGTGTGTTGTGTAGTTTGTAAGAAAGTTTCTTAAGTGTAGTGAGACTCAGTGAGACGAATGGCTGACCATGGTTAGTTTGTCATGTGATTGGATGTTCCAATCCAGCATGCACTGTAAAAGCATTTATTTAAGTTTATCTGGCATTCTAGGTAAACCAATGAGAAAGTTGCATTACGATAACCTTGTCTTAGTGTCTTACATCCTCTGAGAACCTTCTTCTCTCAGGCTATGCATATTCCTTGTAACTGTATCACAAGAACAGACAGATTTTGTAAATCTCACTACCAGTTCTTGATGCCATAAAAATGTGAAAATGTACCATAGCCAACAGATGCAGGGCAACACAATAGAGGTCTACATAAGAGTGGTTACATATACTCACTGAGAAAACTCTCTTTAAAGACATATTTGCACTTCAAAAATATAGTATTTTTATATTTCTAAAATAATACAGACCTCAGATCTTGCTAAAGGAAATTGAAGTTTCTTGTTCCAGTCTTTCCGAATGTGTCTCCCTCTCCCTCCCTCCCTCCCTCCTTCTCTCTCTCTCTCTCTCTCTCTCTCTCTCTCTCTCTCTCTCTCTCTCTCTCTCTCTGTATGTGTGTGTGTGTGGTGCATGTGTGTAATGAGTGTCTATGTATGTACATGTTAGTGCATGTGTGTCAGTTATGTTCACTTTCTTACTCAGTCTCTCTGCTTTTTATTCCCACTAATCCTGGAATTCTCTGACTCACTAAACTGGCCAATGAGCTCCAGGGATCTGCATATCATGTTTCTAGTCCGAGAAATTGGTATCTCCATGCTCTGTATATCCAGGTTTTTTTTAAGGTTGATGGTAACCCTATCTGAGTGCCTTATGCTTGTGTGCTTGTTTGCACTCACGGACAGAGCTACTCCCCAATTATACTAAGTCTGTTTCCTATGACCTTTGCCCTGAGAAAGAATGCATTATTTCTTTCTATTTAATTGATCCTAAGGTGTTATTTAAATACTTGATCATATTTATTTTTAGTATAATTTTACAAAAGCACTGTATTTGAATTCACTTCCCTTTGTATCCTGTTCCTACTTCTTTAAAGATAAAGATATAAACTAATATCCTTTCCTTTAATGATTCTGATTTGAAATGTTTGTTAAAGTATTATTAATTATTAACTAGCACATTACTTGTATTTTGGCAAACAGATGTTTCCATTTATTCTAAGAAACTATTTGTTGGTGTCCAATCCTGTTTTAGCACTGGCTAAGAAAACTAACAGTCACTGTTTCAGTTATTTTATCACTTTCTCATATTTTGATCAACATCCCTTTTTGAAAGAATAAACCTACCATTCTAGAAGAAAATACCAAATGACATAGAAGTTCATTGGAAGAATTAGGGTCAGTAAATGAAGTTGTCCATATGACTTAAGGATTATGACAGTTATTGGAATAACCCTACATTTTATTTCTGCAGAAGAAATAGCAGAAAAAATATTAATGTTACCAGAGACTTGAGTGTTGCCAAGAATGATGCTGATATGTGGGAAAGCACAAGGACTATTTTGAGAGTTCTGATAAGTTTAGTGCAAATGAACCAGACAGACACATAATTAGATAACATGCAATTGAGATTTTGAGAATACTTTGTTGTCACCATTGAGACACACAATAAATTATGTCCTTAATTTTCATTTATACTTGATCAGTGTTATTAGATTGGGTGTGCTAAACCAAGGGAATCCTGCTATTTCCTGCATGTATTAGCAGTTATTCATTTTCCAAGCTGAAGACAACTATTCAGATAGGCTTGGTAACCTTATTTTTTATATAAACATGGAAGAATTAGTGTTGAGCCACAGGGACATTATGAATTACCTATTGTGTTAAAATATATCATTTTTGTCTTACAACAGAAACCTTTGGAAGCTGACATATGCTTGATAAGACACATCTTTATGGAGATTACAAATATTAGCTGGTTCCAGCCACCTACTCTTCTTCTCACAGGCATCCCTGGGCTAGAAGATGTGCAGATATGGTTCTCTATCCCACTATGTGTCATGTATCTAATAGCCCTCCTAGGAAACTGTACCATCCTCTTTGTTATCAAAACCACCCCCATCCTGCATGAGCCTCAGTACATCTTCCTATCTATGCTGGCAGCTACGGACGTGGGTCTGTCTGTATCAACTCTGCCTACAGTGTTGAATGTTTTCCTCCTGAATCACAGAAAAATTGATTTCCACTCTTGTTTGACACAGATGTTCTTTATCCATACTTTCTCTTCCATGGAGTCAGCCATTCTACTGGCCATGGCTTTTGACCGGTTTGTAGCTATTCATAATCCATTATACTATACTGTGGTTTTAACACCCCCTAGGATTATCAGAATGGGACTTTCAGCTGTTGTTAGGGGTGTGGTGTTAATGGCACCCTTACCCATTCTTCTAAAGCGGTTACCTTTTTGTAAGGGTGTCATTCTATCTCATTGCTACTGCTACCATCCTGATATTATGAAGCTGGCCTGTGGTCCTGTCAAAGTCAATATCATCTATGGATTGTCTCTAGTCCTCTGTTCCTTTGGAGTTGACTCTTTATTTATTCTCATCTCTTACATCTTGATTTTGAAAACAGTGTTGGGTATTGCCTCAGGTGATAGTCAGCTAAAGGCGCTCAACACCTGTGTCTCCCACATCTTCACTGTCTTTATATTTTATGTACCACTCATTGTTCTGGCCCTAATTCACAGGTTTGGTACATTTACATCTCCTCTCCTTCATGTCACTATGGCTAACCTCTTCCTCTTTTTGACTCCTGTTCTGAATCCCTTGGTTTACAGCTTAAAAACAAAACAGATAAGGTCCGCAGTGCGTAAAGTATTCAAAGATAGGAGAAACTTGCTCAAATAGTCATATATAGCCTTAGAGAAAGAGATGCCCTCCTTTTATGTCCTAGTATACCTGCTTCTCAGAAACATGCTTTTATTTCAAGATATTGTGAGAATTGAGAGATTAATGTCTTTTAAGAAAAAGATGCTATTTTGATTAATGTTGAAAAGAAATACTGATCTGCTGCATTGGGAAATGAGAGTAAATTATGAGATTCAGTGAGGGATATGCATATCTTTTGTTTAGTTAGTTCTTTTAAAGAAAAACATGATCTATGCAAAATTTGAAGGGATAAGTAATGTTACTCATCTTTTGGAAAGCAAAAACAAGCAACTAATATAATGGGGAAATGTCAGTTTTTGAGTCTTAATTTATTTGTTAACTTTAATATAAAACATTGCAAATAAAATTTTTCTTTTAAGTTTTAAATAATCAATCTAAAAAACTAAAGTCAGAAGAATCAAAGACAGCAGCATATTCTTAGTTGCGGAAGTACAACAGAATGTTATACTCAGAAGAAGTAGAGTATAATAATGGAAGTTCCTCTGGAGGAAGCATGACAAAGGTCAATAAAAGAGTGGACCCCTCAATGTCCATCAGCTTTTGCATTTATTTATTTATTTATTTAACTAATAAATAAAATTGATTTATAGACTGATTCTACTAAGGTTGCTATTCCAGGCCATTGCAGTACTTCACTTGAGATGGAAAATGCCCTCACTCTGATATTACTCCCACAAGACAGTTATCCTGACAATATTTTAGGAAATTATTCCATGTACATATTTTGAATTATTCAGTACTTGGCTACTGTTAGAGTTTTATATTTTAAGTCTAGTATAGTCTTGAATCAATGGACTATTCTGAGAACCTAAGATTTGGTAACTTTAGAGTATGAAAGAAATGATAGGCAGGTTGGATCATAGAGTGCTTAACATATAGATTTGGTTAAACTTGTCAAAGCAAACACACATTGTGTCAATAATTTGGAAATAAAGATTTAACACAATCATATTTGTTAAAAAACACTTTTATATAACCCAGTAAATGTGAGTTTAAACTTCAGGTGAGGTTCAGTGTTTGGAATTCTACTGCATATTACATAAAGAAGAGCTAATATTGGCATGTAGAAAAGTGAAAGAATTTAAGATAAATTTAGGAGATGCAGTTGATTGGTATTAATGAAGAAGAAATTTTAAAGATATGTAGAGATGACCGCATTATTTTTCACTCTGGAAACATAAAAATACACTCATCAGTTGTATACAGAGGGAATTTGAGAGGAAAAATGCATTTGAAAAAATTCATGAATTAAACTTTGTTCTCCATGGATTTGAAGACTGTACTACAAGGAAGATAGCCATGTGTGCATACCCATCAGAAGATCAGACAAGCTTCTCAAAGTGACTATGCAGTGTTCTATAACTGTGGAACAAATCAAAGTTACAAAACTAGTTAGCAATGATATGATCTATAGGAAAGTGGAATTTTTCTTCTAAAGAATGTGGATATATATGTGGAGTATTTTGTGGGAAAAGATACAAAATTCACTGCTATGACTCACACACTCTATAGCAGGGGTAGTTAAAATTGTCTAGAAGATTGATATGAATTTTTTCTCATGAAGATACTTTTAAAAAGACGGGGGATATTTTGGTCAATAAAATACAGTAAAACTATGAGGAAAGAAAACAAAGCCCAAAGTTAAAGAATAAGAATGGGGATTTAGTTAAGCTTCTGAATTTTAAAATTCTTTAATTATAACCCTCATTTGCTACTATAAAATATAGTGAACTTATTCATGAATAGAGACTAACAAAATATCTAGCCAAGAACATTTTTCTACTGTTTATTTTATGAAGTCTAAGAAATACAGGAGAAAATACAAGTTTTGTGTATATAAATACAATGTCTTTATTTATAAAATCTATAATTTCAGTGTTCTATCTTACTGTCATATCTATATACAGTTCCAAGTTGTAAAAATACAACAAAATAAACAATCATGTTAACTATGACATTGAGAATTGTTCTTTCCTTCACTGAAGCTGTTTGAATTACGTTTCTGAATTTTTCATCTTATCTGGATCTTCAAGGACTTTCTCAGGGCAGAATGAATTTGCTTGGTCTTCAGGCTATATACAATTGGGTTGAGCATTGGGGGCATGAAGAGGTAGATATTTCCCAGGACTGCATGTGCTATTGGGGAACTTCTGTGGCTGATTCGATGCATTACTGTTATTGCCAGCAAAGGGCCATAGTAAATAAAGACAATAAATATATGAGACAAACAAGTGTTGAGTGCCTTCATCTGACCTTCTCTGGAAGCAATCCCCATGACTGCTTGAAATATCAGAGCATAAGAAATGGCTATGAACAGAAAGTCTACCCCAAAGGAAAATATAACTAAAACAAGTCCATAAAAAATATTGATTTTGACTTGTCCACAAGCTAGTTTCATGACATTTGGGTGGATACAGTAGGAATAAGACAGCATCTGCCCCTTGCAGAATGGTAGCCTCTTGAGCAGAATAGGCAAGGGAGTCATGAGCGCTACACCCCGCAGAAAGGCTGCCAGACCCATCTTGGTGACACGTGAGTTGGTAAGTATTGTGGTGTATTGCAGGGGGTGACTGATGGCCACAAAGCGGTCAAAAGCCATAGCCAACAGAATTCCTGAGCCCACGGAGGAGGATGTATGGATGAAGAAGAGTTGAGCAAGGCAGCTATCAAATGTAATTTCATAAAGGTCAAAGATAAAAACTTTTAAAACAGAGAAAAGTGTGGAAAAAGACAAGACAATGTCAGCCCCTGCCAACATTGACAAAAAATGGTACTGGGGCTCCTGAAGACTCCGTTCTGTCCTCACTAAGTAAATTACGGTACAGTTTCCTGCCATTGTAGTGATGTACATCAGGCTTAGGAGTGGTCCTAGCCACATGCGGGCACCCACCAACCCTCTGAGACCAGTGAGGATGAAGAGAGAAGGTTGAAATGTGGTGGTATTGAATTCAGACATGGGCAATGGTGAGACTCACTGTGCAAACACTTTCTTTGACATTGAACCCTAGAATGAAGCAAAAGTTAAGTGTCAAATATAGGACTTTGAATTCAGGAAGTTCTAATGAGCAATCGAGATGTCACCTGTGAAAGACAAAGTATAAGGGTGAGGGGCTTATTAGGAGTAAGATGAATTTAACAATTCTACCAAGAGACAAGTGTTCCCCTGAAGACATTACTAATCTCCAGGTAGAAATGTACCAGCTAAGACGGTAGTGAAAATGAATAGTGAATTTTGTGGTCAGCCCATTCCCAAACCAGCTTGATCCAGGAGCTTAGGAGGGAAACTATGAGACAGCAAACACAAGTAGAAGTACTTTACAAAAGAATGGCTTCAAATAAACAAACAAACAGGAGGTTGGAGTAATGGTTCAGTGTGTCAGAGTACTTGTTGTGCTAACATAAGGATGTGATTACAAATACCCAGAAACACGAAAAAAACACACACACACAAAGAATAGTGGCAGGTTTCTGAAACCTCAGCATTGTGGGATCAGGGACAGAACACAGGTCAATGGGACTTATAGGCTATACTCCAATCTTCAGGTTCTGCTAGTGACCTTGCCTCAAGGAAATATGGCAGAGGGTGATAAAACAGGACATATAATGCCATCCTTGATATTCTGTGTGTGTATGCTTATGCACAGTGGTATGAACATATATCTTCATGGTTACAATTATAAAACCAGGAAAAGTCTCTCTGGATAGCATAGTACCCAGTGCTCCTATCTTCTCACTGTAGGAGACAAAATCAGAGTTGGAAACAAACATCATTCCCCCCTACACCCACACACACCACACATACATGTGTGACACTTATTTGTGTCTTGAGATATACTCATTTTGACATGTTTGGAAAGGAAATCTTCCTATTTGTATAACAGCATATTTACTGATATTGTATACTGTATTTAACACTTACAAGAGGTTCTCACTGTTGCCTATGATAACTATTTAAAAATTTCATTCAACCAATACCAAAATGTAGTTGTTGACAATTTAATTTTTGACATATTGTTCAACTCTTCTCTTTAACGAATTGTCTAAGTTCTTTTTACACATCTCAAATTATTTATATTCTATAATAAAAAATTCCTTCATCTTGAACCTTAATTCCCATTCTAAGTGCATGCTGATTCCTTGTCTTTGATAGTATTCTGTAAATGTTATGTAACATACTTAAATGCATCAGAATGTAAACACCTATAATATTTAGTATAATTTTAAGGTATGTATTTATATTATTTGTTTATTTTGAATTTTATATAAAGTAAATATATATCATCTATCATGTGTCATTTTATCTTCCTTAGTCTGCCTTTTCCCTCCATGGTAAAAAATGTAATTTTAAAGCATGTTAGTATACCTTAAACTAATTCCAATAATTTGATAATCATTTCTACTAATTATTGACAAAGAATTACAAACTTAAAAAGTAATCTCATGTAACTTGGTGATATATTTGTCCCTCAAAACATATCCTTGTTTGCCATGTGCTCTTGCCACCATGATGTTCGCCTGTTTGTAGAGACCCACACAGTCATAGGCTGAACCATGTGAGGTCCAAAACCAAAGTAATTATTCTTTCTAAATTGCTTCCAGTGACTTTGATATCTCTACACAAAATTAGCCAATATAGTAATTCTATAAGCATTACATAAACTCTCTATGTTGTCCACAGGTGGTTAAAGAAAGCAACTGTTTGTTGCTCACCCTTCTATTTTCTTTGAGCACAGTAGCTGGAGTATTCCATCTTTTCTTTAATGGCACCCATTTTATTTGAAGTAAAAGTATAATGTCTTAGCCACAGCATAGATTAGCTTTGCATTGTTGTGACAAATACCTATGATAAAAGGAAAGGTTTAACAGGTTAGAGAGATGGCTCAATGGTTATGAAACTTGCTGCTTTTCAGAAGACTCAAGTTCAAGTCCCAGCATACACATTATGGCACACAACTATT